AAAACCTGCTTTCGCCCCAAGCCAAAAATTTTTTTTTTTTTTTTTTTTTTTTGGAGAGGTTTTTGCTATAGGGTGCGTGCACACGCCAGACAGATGGAGAGAGACAGAGAGACAGAAAGCAGGAAATCACCTCCCAGGGAAGATGGCCACACCGCAATCCCTTCTCCTCTGTTCTCCTCTCGGGATCTTGGGCACGCATGCACACGTGCCCGGCATGAGTTTAAGCTACCAGGTCCAGGACTCGAACCGCGGTCGACTATGTGGGAGTCCAGCGACATAGTCGTTATGCTAACTGCTGGTCCCCCAAGCTAAAATCTTGATGGCATTCCCGTTCCTCTCTTTCCTTCACTCTCAGTGTTGATTTCAGCTCCAAGGCATTTGCTTCTCTTCCTCTATACTCTATCATTCTGACCAGCCACCGTCATGTCCTGCCTGGACCTCTGGGTACATTACTTTATTACTTAAACTTGCCTGCACTTACAGTACCACTTAAATAAACGTCATTCTCTTTCCCCTGGCTGACAACCCTCTACAGAATCTGGCATGAGGAGCTTCCCTCTGACCTCATCTCATACTACAATCCCCTCCTTTACGCTGCATACATATTGGCCTTCTTTCTCCAGGCTGCCAAGGCTCTGTGCTCACACTGAACTCTTTGCACTACCTGTTACATTTGTCTGTCTGGAATGTTTTTACCCTAGATTTCAGCATGGCTTATTCCCTTGTTTCTTCCTTTTTAAAAGCATTTATTTATTTAATTTTATTAATGGTTATTTTAAAATTTGCTGTAGGGCATGTGCACTCAACTGGGAAAGACAAAGAGATAGAGAGATAGAGAGAAAGAAAGAGAGAGAAGGAGAGTGAGAAGGCAAGCAGCCAGATCCAGGACTTGAACTGTGGTCAGTCATGTGGAAGTCCAGTGCCTGTCACTACACCTGGCCTGCTAGTTCCAGTTGGTTCCTTTCTTAATCAGGCAGGACCTGACTTACATGCCATCTCATCAAGGTTCCTTTTAATGTGAAGTAATGGGCTTATTATTTTGTAACACAAAATTCTATCCTGCTATTTTTTTTTCTTTTCTTGGTGTTTCCTTGCATAATTATTTATGTATTTGCGTGTGTACTGTCTCAACTTGTGGAACATAAGCTCCATAAGAAGAGAGCAGACTTTTCTTTTGCAGTGTTGTATTCCAGCACACAGAAGTAATAATCACCTGCCAGTCATTATGCTAACCAGTAGGAATCCAACAGTGAGCACAAACAGGTTTATTCTTTTTAAGAGAGAGATTTTTGCTATAGGGCACATGTGCTTACTGGAAAAATGAGAGAGACAGAGAGACAGAAAGTGAAAAATTACCACATCAGAGAGGATGGCCATGGCACATCCCTTCTCCTCTATTTTTCTCTTGGGATTTTGGGCATGCACACACATGTACCCAATGTGAGGTTTAAGCCACCAGGTTCGGATCTTGAACCCCAGTTGACAACATGGGAGTCCAGCAAT